CCCTCATTCAACAGGGATGGTGCATTTCATACTGAATATAACCGAGCTGTCACATTGAAGGTAAACTTGAATATATATATTTTTTAGCACTGGAAATTGGGGGGATGGCGAGAGACATGTGGATTAAAAACAGATGTTGGCTTTTGCAGTTTTGTGTAGGAGGTATCAAGGAGAGAGTAAATTTTGCAAACAGCTGCTATAGAAAAACCCTTTAGGTCATTTTATCTCTGTGTCTGTCGGCTACATGTCTGGAAAAACTGGCTATGAATATATCAAGATAGAACCCATGTTAAAGCATAATGTAAATTGTGAGTTTCCCTGCCAGCTGGTAACAAATACGTCGTTTTGCTGTGAGATCCTGTCAGTAGCAGTCTACAAACAAGTGTGTTAGCTGGACAGCATATTAGGAAATACTTTCTTTATTATTCTAAGTGCCAAGATATGAGTTTTAAAGGAAGACAAAGTGGCTTTTTGTCTGATCTGATTATGGCAGTCTAGATTTGTATGGATATTTCCAGAGCACAATGGGAACAAAATGACCTTCTTTCTCCTCCTAGAGACTTCATAGAGTCCAAGAGAAAGCAAAGTTCTATGGGGACAATGAAAGAAGGAAAACAAATAAACCTTGTCAAAAAACCTGTGTGGATTTGGGTGCAGTAGGTTCAGAGTAGGGAAGTAATAGTGTAGTCGATTAATGGATAAGCAAAAGCTTATGGGTTAATGCTATAGACTACATGCATTTCCTCTCCCCCAGCCCCAGTAAATTTTTTAGCAGGCTGGCCAGCACCCTGGCTGAGTCCTGGCTTGCGATGTGTCCAGGATCTACTCTTGCTGCGGCTCTGCATTTAAAGTGTGTGAGGAACCAGTCAGGCATGCAGCCCAGCTGAGTCCTGACTCATGCTGGGTCTGGGAGCTCAGACCTCCCCTGGACAGAGGCTGCTGCCAGCCTGCATTGCTGCCTCTGTATCAGAGGCAGAAGTGTGGGGCGATAGGCAGCTGGTCCACGAGGGGAGCTGGTTTTCAAAGAGGCTCCCCCAATGGACCAGCTCCCACTTGGCACCCTACACTGCTGCCTCTGATACAGAGGCAGCAGTGCAGAGTGGCAGGGAGCTCCTCGGGAGTGGGCCCAGAGCATACTGGCTGCCTGCCCCACCCCTTATTGGAATAGTCGAGTGACCAATAAGAATCGACTATTTAATTAAATTATTCATTTTACATCCCTAGTTCAGAGCACTGTAGGTCAGGCTAAAATTGCACAGCTTTCCCTTATGAAGCTCTGGCAGGGAATTCACATCCTCACCAGCAACATGTCTTCTGTGGTGCAGGGCCCCCCACAGCCCAGCCACTGTACCAGATCCAGACCTGCAATAACAGCACCTGTGCACCCTTGCAGCAACTCCTGCCATCCCAGCAGGTTTTGCCTTCTGAAGAGGGATTATCCTGAGCTCTTCATGGACTAATGCCCAGGCTGACACCACTTTTCTCTTTTGTCTCATGTCAAGACTTGAACAAACCTGTAGGGCTCGATGCATGATGGTTATATGACCTGTCCCTGTGGGATCCATGATCGTTAGCTGACTTTCCTACAACTGCTGCATGTTCCCTTGAAAACTAGGATTTCTAAAGGGGAATTATGTTTTCTGATTTTGAGCTGAGCAGTGGGCAGAATCCAGGGTCCGCAGGGTGCAGTTGGGGTCTGCTATCTTGCCTGCAGTCCTTGTTGGGCAAGGGTACTTGTCTTGCCACCCCGTTTAATAAAGGTCATGGGGGTGGCCGTTAAGCAGCCCAAAGTCCTCACAAATGATGCTGCAGCTAGGCAGAAATGTACCTGCAGTCCTGGCCAATGGGTTTAGGTAAACTGCAAAAGTCCCTGAAGGTATGCGTGTTACTAGGGAGTGGAGCAAGTACATTGCTAAACGGTGTGGGCTTCTGCTGGGAGCTTTCCCCACTCCTGCTGCCCTGCTTGGCGCATCTTTCTTGGGCCTCCCCTGACCCTGTTTGACTGGATTGCATGGCCCTGCTATCCCCTGGTCACTGTTTGCTAAAGATGAGTAAGCAACTCAAAGATAAACCAAGGAGCGGGTGTCTCACTTCAATGCATATGCAAAGGGGTTATCTAGGAACCGTCCGGCTCCCTTGTTCCACGACCATACTCCTTAGTAGTAATTGAATATCTTTATTATCTCTGAATCAAGTTGGCTCTAGCGAGTCCATGTTTAAAACTGAAAGGTTTATGTCCAGTCCAAAGGATAATAAGCCTCATATTAGCATCCTGATGCATTATAGTTTACATTCCATCCGATATCCAGTTAGCAACCAGCCTGTAATAGGGCTTGCCACTGTGCTGGGGTACCTGGTTCCATCCTAGAATTGTTGTCATGTCCTCTCTGTCTTCTCTTTTCCAAACTAAACAAACCCAGTTCCTTCAGTCTTTCCTCTTAGATCATGTTCTCTAGACCTTTAATCATTTTGTTGCTCTTCTCTGGACCTTCTCCAATTTCTCCACATCTTTTTTGAAATGTGGTGCCCAGAACTGGACACAATACTCCAATTGAGGCCTAATCAGCGCAGAATATAGTGGAAGAATGACTTCTTGTGTCTTACTCAGAACACTCCGGTTAATGCATCCCAGAATCATATTTGATTTTTTTTGCAACAGTGTCACGCTGTTGACTCATATTTAGCTCATGGTCCACTATGATCCCTAAATCCCTTTCTGCAGTACTCCTTCCTATACAGTCACTTCCCATTCTGTATGTGTGAAACTGATTGTTCCTTCGTAAGAGGAGTATTTTGCATTTTTTTCCTTGTAGAGCTTCATCCTATTTGTCTCGGACCATTTCTTCAGTTTGTCCTGATCATTTTGAATTATGACCCTATCCTCCAAAGCACTTGCAACCCCTCCCAGCTTGGTACCATCTGCAAACTTTATATGCATACTCTCTATGCCATCATCTAAATCATTGATGAAGATATTGAATAGAGCCAGTCCCAAAACACACTCCTGCCAAACCCCACTTGTTATGCCCTTCCAGCATGACTGTGAACCATTGATGAGTACCCTGAGAACAGTTATCTATCCAATTATGTACCCGACTTATACATTGTCCATCCAGTTATGCACCCGACCATCTACATTGAATTTCCCTACTTTTTTGTAAAGAAGGTAATGCGAAACTGTATCCAATGCTTTACTAAACTCTGGGTATACCATGTCTACTGCTTCCCCCCTTGTCCACAAGGCTTGTTATAATATCAAAGAAAGCTATCATGTTAGTTTGACATGATTTGTTCTTTACAAATCTATGCTGACTGTTCCTTATCTTATTATGTTCCAGATGTTTGCAGATGGATTCCTTAATTATTTACTCCATTATCTTTCCTGGCACAGAAGTTAAACTGACTGGTCTGTAGTTTCTTAGGTTGTCCTTATCTCTCTTTTTATAGATGGGCACTATATTTGCCCCTTTTCAGTCTTCTGAAATCTTTCCTGTCTTCCATGACTTTTCAAAGATGATAGCTAATGGCTCAGATCCTTCCTCTATCAGCGCCTTGAGTATTCTAGGATGCATTTCATCAGGCCCTGGTGACTTGATATCTTAACTTTTCTAAGTAATTTTTAACTTATTCTTTTCCTATTTTAACTTCTGAGCCTACCCCATTTCCCTGGCATTCACTATGTTAGTGATTTGATATTGCAGTACAGAGTGGACAAAACCATGTTCCTGAACTATGCTACGTCTGTGTTCAGTTCAAAGCTCTAGTGTGGTTTGAGAAAATAGTTAAAGCACAGCTTGGCCTTGCCTGTGCTAGGAATCAAAGTGTGTTTTAATGACCGGGTTTGCTACCAACTCCCTGGCACCGTGGTGCTACAAGGTGAGCAGACCTTGACCAGCTCTGCAACCCTCAGCTGGGAGTGCAGGAACCTTTGTGAAAGCTTTGCACTCTTGTGATGAAAAGACTTTAGTTAAATGCTCAGGAAATGTGGAAGTTCTACCATGCAGCGGAACAAGCGGAAGGCAATATGCTGCATTCCCCTGCCAGAAAACATGACACGGCATCTTTTTCTTTCTTTTTTTTAAGATTAGAGAGAGGCTGGATGAATAAAATCCCTTTAATCCACCATCCTCTAACGGCATCTGTTTCTACACAGCTGAATTTGTCACAAGGGAATTCCTGAAATCATGCTCATTAGCAGTTAAAAGGTTGATTCCCACACACACACACACACACTTTCCCTGGTGTTTAATTGAGCTCTAGGCACAGCTCCGGCAATGCCAAAAAAGGACAGAAGCTGATATATCATTCTTAACTGCGGGTGAATACTCCCTCTCCCCCCCTCCCCCTTTCCCCTGCCCTACCTTCCCCGTAGGCTATAGAGCCCTCTTCCAGCATTGGTCAGGGAGGTTATTGTCCTGAGTGCCATCTGTCCTACAGTTATTTTAGAAAATGGCCTGGCCATTTCTCTTACCGCCGTGGGAATGTGTGTTGCTTCTCCCAGTATTGCTTCTGAGGTTCTGACCCTTCCTTACTCAGCAGCTCTGCTCCCTCCATGTAGTAAGAATCCTGTCTGCTGATTTGAATAACTAAAACGCACAGACCCTGTCTTTTCCTCCTCTGAGCTTGTCAGAGCCACTGCAGATGGAGCCAGAAATTAATTTTTTGCCCCTCGTGAGCAGATGGTTGGTCTGAGCTGTGGGCAGCCCCACTGAAGACAGAGTGCTTGTAAGAACGTCCCTGAGATCCTGTCTAGACCAGAGGGCGGAGAGGTTAGCATATGTCAGCCACCTTGTGGAAAGTCTAAAGCCTAGTCTTTGGTGTGAGCGGGGGAGCACGTGCTAACCTGTGGGTGGCTGTAAGAACACTAGACATCTCCAATGCAAGATGCCTGAATGGAATGAGAATCTGGCCCGAATGCAGGGGAGGCATCCTAGCCCACCAGGCGAGGGAGCAGGAAGTAGACTACTGCGGCCCAGAGGATCCTTGCAGCATCGTAGCCTCTGACAGGGATGTAAAATCCCATTGAATTGGTTCACCGGTTAAACATATCCTTTAACTCGTTAGAGGGAAGAGTGGCTTGGGGGGGAAGGATGCTTGAGCCCAGCTGAAGCCTCTCCCTGCCTGCTGCTGGGTGGAGCATCTTCCCCGCTACAGGAGCAGCCCCTGCCCCCCACCGATTAACTGGTTAAACCAGAGTGGGGAACCTCAGGCCCGGGGCCATATGCGGGCCCTGGCTTGACTGGATCTGGCCCTCAGGACCCCCAAGGATTGGGAGCTGGTGCTGGCTCTCCAGCCCCCCTGCTGCCCCACTATGGTGCTGGAGCACACAGAGTGTACTAGCCTTCCCCCAGGCTCTGGTGTATGTGGGGAATGTGGGCAGTATCTTTCTCCTTCTCCGTCAGGGGCCACATCAGGGTGTGTTGGGGTTTTTTCCCCCCTCAATTGTGTGCAGTCCCCTAATGATTTTGCTGTGGGTCAGTGGCAGTGTTTCCTCCAGGCTGTGTGGCTGCACAGCATCACAGGTGATTAATCAGTCCCACCAAGTCAGAGGCTCAGGGCTCCATGCATAGAGCTGACTGACTGGAGCTTAGAGGGAATACCGGTCAGTGGCCCTCGACCCCAAAAGAGGTTCCCCTCCTCTGGGTTGAACATTCTCGTCCCTATCCTGCAACCTCACCTTGCCCATGTGCTTACCTCTTTCTGCCGAGGCTCCATCAGCCATACAGACCCTCATGTCCTGGGATATTCATGTCCTGCAGGGAGTCCGTACCTTTGAACAGCCCCTCAATTCCAACTTCAGCACCTTCTGCCCTTGTTCAGAAACACTGCCCAGGGCCCCTCCGCTGCATTACAGGGAATGGCTGTATTGATCGCCTCGAAAGCTAGCAGGCAGAAGGGCAGTAGCTGTTGCTGAAAGGGAAGATGAAAAGCCAGCTGAGTGGAAAGGTGACACTTTGGGAGGGGATCCCTCCTAGTTCTCGTTGCTGTTGCATTGAAAAGCCCGTTGTTTTCTTTCCATTCATCGCAGTCGGTGGTGGCCTTTCTAAAGGATCCGGAGGGAGCTCCGTTGTGGGAGGAGGATCCCCTTGCCAAAGATGTTGTGCATGTCGACAGTGAAAAGGTACTTCGGCGACATGCCTAATGTGTGTGTATTGAATGTCTGTAAGAACTGTGTGTGTAAAGGCTTTACAAAAGAGAGCAAGCACCATTTTCTCCTTTTCAAAAGAAGAAACTGAAGCACAAGTCGCTCTCACAAGTTCACATATGACATTAACTACAGAGGAGGGATGGCAACGTGTAGCTGTTTACATGATTGACCAATGATCCTAATGGTTATATGCCGTTCCTTCCCCCCCTTTTACCCCCCCATTCCTCTGTATCTGAAACAGCTGGGGGGTGGGGGAAGGCGGGATCCAGTGTGTGTGGGAGCCGGTTTCTGTGGCACCACCTCCCCCTCCCGCCTCCCACAGAGGCAGCTGCACGGGGAGGAGAGGAGAAGGGCAGGCAGCAGCAGGCGGGAGACGGTGCAGGTGGGGTACTAGCTTTTAAGCCCGATCTCCTGACACCCAGACTGATGCCATCTCTGCTGCACAATACTGCCTTACAGTGAATTGTGAAATCGCTGGGGGAATTGCAACAGCCCCACTGTGACTAGAGCATCATTGCGCTAGGTGCTGTACACCCAGTAAATGACCAGTCCTTGCCATGAGGAGTTTGCCTCAATAAAGATGATAGAGGCAGGCTGGCAGAAAGCAGTGCTGTTCTCATTTTATAGCCTGATAGTGAAACACAGTGACAGTCAGTGATTTGCCAGAGTACATGCGGGGAGCCTATGGCAAAGGCAGGAAGTGAAACCATATCTCCACGGTGCTCACTTAGTGCTGTAACCACAATATCAGCCTTCCTCAGAGGAAGTGGGTAGGCTGCAAGTAGAATTAAATGTTATTTCTGGTTTCGAAAAGAAAGGGTTGTTATAATGGTAACTGTGCTGTCTCCAGTAATGATCGGTTTGGTGTTTTGTATGCTTTTCTAGTCTATTGATTTTAAAATTTTAATTGATTGAGCTTTAGCTGGTGTTTCATACAGAGCCTTTTCCATTTTTCTAGCTTTCATTTTTGAGATAAGGAACTGTTCTTTTTTGACATTCAGTTTTTGTAAGAAGATTAATTTTTAATGTTCACCTTTTTGTTCTCCATTACAAGCTCTCCTCGGGTCACATTCAATTTAAAAACTTCATGTGGTTTCCCCACCACACCTGGCACTGAAAAATCTATTCTCATGGCCTGCCTTTGGCTTTCATGGAATGGAAGCTAAAGTCATTTTTTCCAATCGAGTCCAGCTCTTTAATAAGAAATCAGAGTAGTTTTCTTTCAGAGGATGAAGCAGGAAAATGGGTCTATTATCCTGTAGCTTCCAAAAGCTTCTAGTGAGAGTTGGCAGATAGTGTTAAGATGTAGAAATTACACTGAACATTTTTCGTACGGTATTTAGTGAAAGAGTCCCATGGTCATCTGTATTAACACTTTCTAAGCTGGACTGAATGGAGAGAACTGATTCAAGTTTTAGCTTTTTACAAGATTCCCCACCCTACATAAGCAGACGTGTCTTTAATACATTATGTGCTTTTTAAGAATTGAACAGTGATTAAAAATGGTTCTTTCTTGATGTATCTATCTGTTGTACTGATAACGGTTTTTATTTGTTTTTACTTTAGGAATTCAGAAGGCTTCTAAAGAAAGAAGACCGACATCTTCTGATGATGTTCTATGCCCCATGTAAGTGATCTGTTATTTCCTATAAACCTGTTACCCCTGTGGCTGATCAACCATTATTCCTTCCCAGAGGTGTTCTCCTCTCAGTGGTGGTCTATTCCTCCATTTATCCCTTTAGTGACTAATATTCATTTCCTTTCACTGTACTGCCCTTAGCATTTGTCATCTGTTTTTTTTTTTTTCTGGCCTCTCTTCCCCTGGCATCCACTCAGTCACTTTTTCTGGGCAGTCGTCTTCTTCTTCTTCTTCTTCTTCTTCTTCTTCAATTTGTTTCCCTTTTCTTTACAAAAGTCTCGCCTCTTTCCAGTGCCTGCTGGTACTGGTCTCAGTCACTGCTCTTTCAGATCACTTTCTTCTTCTTAGTCCTGTCTGGTTTTCTCATGTTCTATGGCTGTCTGGTATGTTAAAGGCATATGAGTTAACACGCATACTTTCCTGCCCTGTACAGCATAATGGATGCACCTGAATACTGTTCATGCTTTTCTTTACTTTCTGCAGTGCTCTCCGTCCCCATAGTCCATGGAGAGCTGGTCCTACTAGAGCAGTGACTCTCCAAAAGAGACTAGGATTCTGGCATCAACGTCACATGTTCTGTCTAGTTTTGGGCAGAGGAGTCAAGAAGAGCTGCATATGTGATGTAACATGTAGTGCTCAGTGACTGAAACCCAAGGTGCTGGGGTTCCTCAGAGCATTCTGGAAAATGTGGGTCAGGTAGAGTTGTAAGAAGTCACAAAATGGCTGCAGCATGACTCCTTGACAGGGTGTTGCAGTGAGGTTCTGTGTATGTCATGTCAACACCTGGAGACCACGTCACACTGTGAACATCACGGTAAGCAAATGATATGCTGCTGCTATTTGGTGGTCTCTTACAATTCCATTCCGCAATCTAGAGGCTTTTCAGCTCTTCAAAGCTCGGTGCCATTGCTAGCTGTAGAAAGTGCATGAGTGTATGATCCAAGATGGAAAGGCACCACTGCATTAGCCTTGGTAGTAGCTGTGATGACAAGTTAGGTGTCACTTGCAATTGGATGGCCCTTGCTTTGTTGTGTTAAAATAACTACATCTCCCTGCAATAATCTTGCAGGAAGTGGATTTTATTTTGTCACAAACGAAGGATATTTATAGTACCGGCCTTTCAAACTGGAAGGGTTAGTGAACAATGAAAGAAGGGAAATAGAATGAATTTTTAATCAGATGTAAGGCATACAGACAAAATGCTGGAATACGTAAATGGCAGAGACCTGATTTCGCCATCAATGAATGTGAAGGAACAACACAATCGAGGTGTGTGCATACACAAATCGTGGTGGTCTCTGCACCAGTTGTGAAAGAAGTGCAGAAGTGAAAACGTGACTACACAGCTAGAAGATGTAGTTTATGATGAGGATGACAAAATAACGTTTTTGACTGGGTCTCTTGATTAAATTTACAAAGTGATCTCATCACTGTTAGTATTCTTCTAGAAAAAGCTCCGTGACTGCTCAGTATTAAAAGAAACCCTAGCCAGGATCAGATACCTGACACACAGCGAGTCCTGGTGACAAAGCTACACTGATAAATCTGTGTAAGGACAAATATTACTTGGAAGAGTTTGAAATAAGCTACCATCTATAAACTAACACGCTGATAGGTGGTAGAGGCAATACTGCATGGGGTTGAAGGTGACGTCCGCAAGGCAGCAGTTGCAGATGGTGTGACCCATGAGTTAGGAGCAGAAGGGAGTTGGGCAGAGGTGGGATTTTTGAAGGTAGAGGACACCAGTGCGTGCTTGGATTTTAGGAAAGAATCCAGGAGAGCAAAAGGTTCAGGTGGGTTCGAAGGCAGGACAGTCAGAGGGCTTCTGGAAGGAGTCTGAAGCAGAGAGCAAGACATGTCAAGGCGGGTGATAGGACAATGAAAACACCTTATGGGAGGAAGTGGCTGACAGGTGGTGCCGTTGGCAGGCTGGTCAGCAGACTGCATGAGAATGGTTGTTGCCGATTCAGGCTTCAGTGAAATGGATGGTGTGCCATGAGCAGTATGAAACCTTTCTGACACTGCCCTGGAACCAATCTCCGCCTAAGTCAATTTCAGACCACGGGTGGAATAGCCACAGAGATTTGGTTCCTCTTTCCTTTCCCTCCTGGAGGATGTCCCTCCTGCTTGCGGTTGAGGCACACTGCTGTGGGGAAACCTGAATTGCTGTTGCCAATTTCTCCCAGAAACATTAACTGAGCTCTTTTTGGGGTGATCTCATCCAGCCCCCAAGGCTACTGCTTATTCTTTTTTTCCTCCCAGCTGGTGGCTGGAGGACAGTTGCTCATTACTACCACATTGCAGTCCTAGAGTCAGAGAGATAAAAGTCCCTTTCATCTGACTCAGAAGAACTTACTCAGGTCTTCTTTCCCATCTCAGTTTCTTGGCAATAGAAAAACCTGCTGCTTACAAGGTGCTTTATTGCTAATCTACTTAAGCCTCCTACAGCATTATTTACATGCAGCTTTTTAGCACATGCCAGTCCCACATCTTCTCTCTCCCTTTTTTGTGAGCTAAACTGCCTTGTCTGGCACCTGAATGGTCGTCTTTGAACTATCACTTTTCCTAAGTAATCAAATGAACACAAGCTGTTTTTTAATGTCCACTTAATTTGTTAAGAAAGGGTGTCTCCATTAATTCCTAAAAATTATTAAACTGGGTTGAATCAGAGGTGTTCTAATTGGTTCCGTATTAGGGGCCAGACTCAGCTTGCTTTGGCACTGTAGTGCAAGGTTGGGGGCCTGGAACATGGATCTTGAAATGACTTTTTTTAAATGCAGGGTAAAGCCCAGCTCATTAGGAATATTGAGTGCCCAGGGAATACAAGATCAAATCTTGAATTGTAAGCCTATGCATGTGGTTTCCATTAAAGGGATGCTGAAAACTTGTTAGATCCAGAATTTAGAGGTAGCTTTTTTTTTCTTGACATGAAGAGGCAAGGGAAGAAAATAAGATTTTAATAAACATGTTCTGGTGAAATTTCGGGGAGGGGGAGTATCAGTGATAACTGTTCCGAATTTTAAGAATGAATTATCATGCCCCCAAATACACCACTACTGTGCTACTACTACTGGAATCAGAATGTGAAACTGAGAGCGAAATTGACTGATCTGGATAAATGATAAATTAAGCACAAATGGGAAAAAGTAATTCTCTTAGAGATGTTGAATAATCTCAGGGGTTTAGTAAAGTAGGTAAGGAATAATAAGCGATTTTGTTTTTTTAATCTTGGTGTTCTTTAGAAGGTTTTGAGATCTGAAGCTGTTTTTCAGAAAACTTAATCTTTCACTGTTTGATGTGCTAGATTTCATCCATGAGAACGTATGAATAGTGTCATTACTGGTATATGATTTGCCTTGTATTTTTTTTCCCCTTTATGACCAGGGTGTGGTGTTTGTAAGAGAATGATGCCATCTTACCAGCAGGCAGCCACAGAACTGAAGGGCACATATGTAAGTAAGAGGATGACTAGATGTATAAATGCTAAAACAAAAAAAACCCATAAGCTTTTGATCTGAGTATTTAAGGTTATATACATGTCAACTGAAGCAGGACATTTTAACTAATTTCAGTTTTGGGGAAAAAATATTTTAAGCAACTCCAAAAAAAAAAAAAACCCCACTCCCACCTCCCCCCCCCCAAATCAAACTTCAAACTTTTTCACAGTGTTTGGCTTTGATTTCTGCATTGTGGAGTGTGAGATTTTACTCATTGACCTCCTGCGGAAAGTGTAACTTGCTGAAACAGACTGCTGATCTGGCACACACTTATCTGCACACTTATCTTTGAGTGTGAGTAATGCTGTTGATTTCCAAAGGGTTGGCCATGTGTAAAGTTAAGGAACAGTTTGCAGGATTGGGATCTTATAGTCCTTTGAGCCTGATGTCCTGTCTGTAAGGGTACATCTGCACTGCTTCTTAATGTCTAACCTACATCTCCCTTGCTGCAATTAAGCCCATTACTTTTTGACCTGCCTTTAGTGGGTATGGAGAATGGTTTACAGTCTCTCTTTTTTTTTTTTTTTTTTTTTTTTTTTCTAAAAACCTTTATCATATTTGAAGCCCCCTCACAAGTCATCTTTTCTCAGGAATAAACATGCCATTTTCCTCATGAGTCAGGTTTTCTAAACCTTTTATTATTTTGGTTGCTATCTTTTAGACTTCCTTCAGTTTATCCCCAAAGAGTGGTGCTCAGCGCCAGACAGAATGTACAGGCACTCCCCAAGTTACAAACATCCGACTTACGCACATACAAACAAGCTCACCTGCAGCCAGGGAGCAGGCAAGAGGCACAGGCGGTGGTCGGAGGAGGTAGGGGTGGCTACCCAGCAAGAGGCTGGAGAGAAGCAGTGCTTTGAAGGGGAAACCGCAGCTTCTCTCCAGCCACCAGCTGCTCTCCAGCCACCAGCGTGCACGGCTGCTCACTGCTCCTCCAGAGTCCTCTGGCCTTTGTTCATACCACTCGCCACCTCCTGGTAAGCGGGGCTGGGTTTGACCTATCGGGGCATGGGGCTGACCGCAGGAGCCCTTCAGAATCTCCCACTACCTCCTCATCTTCCTCTACTTAAACCTGTTTTTTCTTAAACACTAGTATTCATGGTTAAATACAAAAATATTTTTTTACTGTTTTTCATTACAAATACATTGTGTTTCAGCTACATTGTGGGTTAAATAGAGTTTTTTGGGCAAGCTTAGAAACCTAACTACCATTTATAACATTGTTTCTATGGGTAGATATGTTCCAAGTTCCAAACAACCAATTTACCAATGAATGTTTGGAACTCAACCCATTCATAAGTTGGGGACTTCCTGTATTCTTGCTGAGGCCTTATCAGTGAAGAGAAGAACAGGACAATTACCTTCATGTCTTCGTCACGACACTCCTGTTAATATCCTATTTGGGTGTATTAGCCTTTTTCACAACTGTATCACATTGCTGACTTGTGTTCAGTTTGTGTTCCATTGTAGCCTCAGGATCCTTTTCACTAAAACTACTGGAGGCCCCCGACTTGTGACTGCCCAAGTTCTGACCCCCGCTTCCCCCCGCACTGACAACCATTTTTGTAAGTGTGGAAGGGGCCATAACCCCCCGACTTATGTCCTCGGCCCGCATTTACGAGGGCACACGGCGCCTATTGTAAATGAGGGTTCGAGTTACGACGCCCCCTACTTGTAACGCTTCCCCTGGAGCCAGTCGCATTACAGGTCGGGGGCCTCCTGTACCACCTTGCCAGTTATTCCCCATTGTGTAGTTAGTTGTGTGTTTGGTTTTTGCCTTCCCAAGTGTGGTACTTTGCATTTTGATGATTTCAGAACATCTCTCCAATTTGTCAACGTCATTTTGAATTATGATTTTGTCCTCCTAAGTGCTTGAAGCCCATCCCGATTTGGCATCACCTATAAATGTTATAACCATTCTTGCCATTCTGTTGTTCAGGTAATTAATAACGATATTGAATTGTACCAAATGCAGGATTGACTCCTGCAGCGCTCCTTGAGACACACCCTCCCAATCTGAAAGCGAACCACTGATAAGTGCTCCCCAAGTACAGCACAGTCTTTCAACTAGTTGTGCAACCACCTTGTAGTAATTTCACTTAGACCATATATTTGTTAATGAGAATTCCATGTGGGTGTGTCGAAAACCCCACTAAAATCACATTGACTGCTTCCCTCCCCCCACTTGAGATCTTCAAATAAGTCATGGGGAGCAGTTGGGTCAAGATTTGTATATACCTATGGGGGGGGGGAGGGAATTGCAGAGGAAGTGGTACATTGGAGGCAAAGGAAAATGACTGATGAAGATTTGGGTTAGAACAGAGTTTAAGCTGAGTTTGATTTCTCCTAACAGTGTTTCATCATTGAGTTTGTCACAGATGGCAGGCTATGCCCCAGAGACACTGCATGTTGCAAAGCAGAGAGATTGACACCTTGAGGTTCATTGGCAGGGCAGTTGCAGTCAGTATATCTCGTGAGCATTAGAAATCCTCAGACTTGCATGCTCCCCAAACTAGTTCTGAAACTGCAGATGCATGTGTTAAATCCTTGTTTGCTCAGGGTTACTTCCGTTGGGAGTGGCTTTGTCTCTGAAGATGCTTTGTAATCATTCTAATATTGCTGAACATCATTTAAGTTCCTGTTCTATGGTGTGAATTCCATTGAGTTAACACTTGGTTCCTTTGTACAAGACACTCCTGTCTGGCAGGACAGATGAATTATAATGCTCCAGGATTTCAGGTATACAGGAATGAGACACACAAGCATCCATATGTGTAACCAGTACCGGAGAGCTAGCACTGTTCAGAACACATGTGATTTTCTTGTAACTTTCTATTGCCTATGCCTGTTGCCAATGCCACAAACAATCCCACTGTTTTTACAGGAGTTGCAATACCCCGCCCCCATCTGATCATTTCCTTCTACTCTTTAGCATGGTCATTCTAGAGTACCATTTTAATAACGGAGTGAGACTAAATGCCAAGGTCCCTTACAACGTGCTCCATGCAGGCAGACATCTGTGCTTTGTGGGAACTTGCTGAAGTCAATAGGGCTTTCCATTGGCACAAAGTCAGTTCAGACCAAAGTCTTGATCTAGCATTTCACTGTGGAAGATGCTGTTTCTACATACAAGCTCAGTCCTTTGGTCTGTATTCAAACCCATGCTTCCACGGATTCATGTGCTTATATAATTTAACTTTTTCCACCTATACTTTGCCCTTTCTGAAATGAAGTGGACTTTCAATGCTACTGTACATGTCCTAGTTTTTTCTATTGTGTGCTTTAAAGCAATAATGACCTGTGGGTCAGGCATTTCTTGGCAATTTGTGACTGGCTTGGACAAGCTGAAGGTTTGGCCTTTTAACCCAATCAGTTATTAACTGGCAGGAAATGCAAGGTTTGGAGGTCATTATTGCTATGAGAGAGCATGAAAATATAAAGTAAAATAACTGCCTATTTAATAGGTTGTAAAAATGCAAAGGTGAACTATACCTGAAGTTGGTTGCTGTATTCTGCTTATGATAGTGGTGCTTTTGCTGTCAGTGCTATGGCTAAGAGGGGAGCTAGGTGACATTTTCAGTGTCAAAGTAGGTTCATCGTTCATATTAAATTACACAACTGTGCAAAAGGAAAAAGACCAGCTCACTATTTGAATGGGGTATTTCTGTCTTGCAGGCAGAGTAGATTCTAATTACCAATGGATTCCTGTTGCTATTGTCCTCTGGCCCCAATGCAGGAATACATCTGTATTGGCAAAACACTTAATTAAATACATGCTTAAATTCCCATTGATATCAGGTACTTGCTTAAGAAGACAGTGTTCACTAATGGGCTGAGACTTGGGAGACCTGTGCTCTATTTCTCCTGGCCTGTTGGGTGACTATAGGCAAGGCGTTTCACATCTCTGCCTCAGTTTCCCCATCTGTAAAATGGGTATAATGATACTGAACACCCCTCCTCCCCCCAATCCCGGTCAAAGTGCTCTAAGATCTGTTGATTTAAAAAATCCTGTGTAAGAACTGGGTATTATTATTAAATGCTTTTCTGAATCAATGCCTGTCTTCCATTCCATGTGCAATCTTAGGGCTTCAGAAGTGGAAGACACACACTTCAAACATATCAAATAAAGGAAGTTACTGTTTAATATTCCATTTGCTTTAGCTGAGCTGTAACTTATGTATTGAAATTCTGTGTCTGTTATAATGGGTTTTTGTTCTATTATACTCCATACAGTGTGTGCAGATTTAGACTGGAAGGAATAGGGTATCTGCATTAAAATTGGCTCAGCATTGTGTATGACTTAAAAATGCTAGGTGTTTTTTTTTTAAATGAATACTTGGCAGAATTCTTATGACTGTTGCTTATAAATCAATTGAGGGCAAACCAAAAGTATTCTTAGGCCCCTTTCTTGGCAGTCTTTGTATTAGTGTGTGTCATGTACTTTACTTTATTGAATGGGATCAGCAAAATCCAGAAATATTTTAAAATACTGAGGATTACACATTGCATGGAAGTTTTGATCTTTCTCTTGGAATTCTTAAAGTATATATTGTAGCAAATTTGGGCAGGCTTCATTGTGTTGCCATAGAAGTTCATGAGATATAAAGCTCCTTAGAGCAATTATGTGTCCCTGAAAACCAATGGCCAGACCCTCACTGGTGTAAATCATTGTATCTTAATTGAAGTCAGTGGAGTTACCGCAGTTTACACCAGCTAAGCATCTGGCCCTAGGAATGCCTTTGTGGAGTCTTGGAGTTTTCTGAGCTTGTGTAGCTAACATTGCCAAACCTCCCACTTCAGTTACAGCTTGACCCTCTTTCTGAAATGTATTTAATGGACATGATTCCCCACTCCTCGGCCTATTCAGTTATTTACAACATGCCAAGTTACCGTTGTGACTTGGTATCTTGTTTCACATACTCTGCATGTATGTAAATGACCACATGAGGTACAAAGCCTGGAGAATCAGGTCCAGTACATGTAGGGATCGAGTAGTATCAGTCATTGGTTCAAAGAAAATTCATAAATGTGAAATGAACAGAAGGCTGATATAAGACCTGCTCAATTAATCTGCTTTTTTGAGTTTGCTGGTGTGGGTGTGGAAGAAAAGAGACAAAAAAGTCTCCATTTGTAACTCTCCAGTACGTTCTGCAGGGTTACGAAGGCTGACTGACCTTCATGTGAGCATTTTGTACTGACGATTTATTTCCAGCTGGCTCTGAGCATGTTTTGTCCATGCAGTTGGCTGTAGTCAGGAAACTACTATTAAATTCTGATGTGGTATTTCAGCTGGAAAGAGAAAATCCTGTTTTCAGAGGGGTTTGGATTAAGCCCCTGATGCTAAAATGATTTAAACCGTCAATGTTGTTAACTCCGAGATTAACTCCACTTTGTATCTTCAGGCTGTGAGGTGACCTCTTATGTGTAAATCTCACACCCACAGAAGTGCCTAGCTAGTCCTATCACTACTCCAGTGTTCTGACAGTGCTTGAGGGGTAGTATGGTTAGGGCACAGGATTGTAAGTCAGGAATTTCTGAGTGTCCATTTTGTGTCGCTGATTCATTGATGTGTCTTTCTGAGGCGAATCACTGTGCCTCGCTTTCCCCATCTCTAGAATGGGTATTGTGCTTACCTATCTCTCGGGCATTATGAGGCTGAATTAATGTATATGAATTTTATAAGCATTATGTGTTATTTCCAGAAGTCATGGATATTTGATATAAAAAAGTAGTCCTCACCCTCGCTAGGTATTGGTTATAATTGATATATATTGACTAGGGATGTAAGAATTTAACTGGTTAACCAATAAGCTGATGCAGCCCCAGCAGCCTTGCAGGGCCCACAGCCCCCGGAGCAGTTAAGCATGTAACTGATAGAATTTTCATCAGTTACATGGTTGATATTTTTATTCATTTTTTACATCCCTAATACTGACTTCAGCATCAACACAGGAGACTGGACTAGATGACCTCTTGAGGTCCCTCGCAACCCTGCCTTTCTTTGGTTTCAAGTTATGATGGATGAGGATGGTTTTCTTTGTTTAAAGAGCTTGCATGCAGCTTAGAGCTCAAACTCATTTCTGGAAGAACTTAAACACAAATAGTCTGGTAGCACTTTATAGACTAATAAAACAGGAAGATGGTATCCTGAGCTTTTGTAGGCACAGCCCACTCAAGCCTCTCAGGAAAACTCTTTTTTTGGGTGGCATACGATGAAAGCGAGCTGTATTTTTAAATTGCAGTAACGTTGATTTATGTCCCCCTTCAGAAGTACCTTTTTAACCTGCAAAACTCAGGCAGTTGAGTTTTCTGGCCTTTAGGTGAGACTTTAAACCACTGCCCAACTGGAAGCCAAACAGGTGGGGCTAGAACTATCCTGGCTTATGACTCCAGGTTTCCTGAGGTGTGGTTCTTGAGGAACAGAATAAACCTGTTCATCCTGCCACGTGAAATGTAAATATACAGAGGCGGGATTGGTAAGTCTGTTGAATAGATTTCCTTTGGGTACTTCCAGTACTTTTTTTGCAAGAAAAATGGTGCTGGTACTCTGGGGCAAACTTGTTGAGGAAAAAAACCCCAAAAAAACCCAACCCCGCACTGGGGGCCAAAATTCGGGCATGGCCCCTTTAAGAGCCACAGCTCCATGCTGGGGGCCGGAAGAAAGAAACGCTGTGCATCCCAAATAGCCGCCCCAGGAAATCAGGTGCCAGTACGTGCGGGGGAAATCCCATTCCCTTTCTGTAGGCTGGGAAAATAGGTGATGGTACACCGTTCCGGGCAGTACCGTCACAAAAAAAGCACTGGATACTTCTATTACGGATGTAAACAGGTAACCGGTTAACTGGTTACCATCACCCTTACTGGGAAGGATGATGTTTACCAAGTAACTGGTTAATCTGTATCCCTGCTGGCCAGAGCAGCTGCACTGCGGACGGGAGGCTGCTCCAACCTGGCTGGGCCCGCTGTGTCATGGGGCAGGAGCTGGTAGTCCCATGGTGCTCGCAGATTAGTTAACCTTGTAACTAATAGAATAGGTTATATGGTTAATATTTTTATACTAGCCAATTAGCCCGTCATAAGATGGGATTTTCAGGTCTCTCCTTCACGTCGGTCTTCTCTCCTGAGCCTCCGGTCTCTCGCTCCGTCTCTTTTTCTCTCTCTCTCTCCTCCTCCTACTGCCTTCTCCTCTCTCTCTCTCTCTTTCACTTCTCCTGCCTCTTGGGGGATCGCGGAGCCCAAATGGCCTTTTGGGCTCCGTACTCCTCACGTTACTTGCGCTGCTTGCTCCCACACAGCGGCCCAGCTGAGCAGCGCAGAAGTCAGCCGAGCACCATGACAGGAGGCGAAGAGGGGCAGGGCAGTGACGTTCATGGCCAGAGGGCGGGGCCTGGAGCCGCTGTCACACTGCACGTCACTGCCCTGCCCTCCTTCGCCTCGCGCTGTGGCGCTCTGCTGACTTCTGCGCCACTCATCTGGGTCACCGCGGGGGAGCAAGTGGCGCAAGCAGCTGTTTGGGCCCCGCACTCTCCATGCAGCACGGGGCACCCAGAGGGAACAGCCAGCATTTCAGGCAACAGCACCCCCCAGAGGGAACAGCCAGCATTTCGGTATTAGACTCTCTGACACTGGGCTACTATATATATGAAGTTATTTTTACATCCCTAACTTCTGTAAGCGTGTATAAATATGAGTAATGTGTAGCCGAAAACAAGGAACAGGAATGGACCGAGTGGAGTGTTTCTTTACAAACTTTATATAGCAAAACAGGCTTTGATATCTCTCGCATCAGAGCAGAATCCGAGTAATTCCACTGACTTCAGTGACATCTCAATGGCTTTGCAATAAAACGAGTGCAATCAGCATCTGTCTGAGACTGGTAGTCTGAGCAATTTTCCTTCTTTTCAATTTGCAGTGACATCTTGTATTGTTGGGAATTCAGGTGGGCAAAGAAACAAACTATTCTGTTCTGATCTTGCAGGTACTTGCAGGAATGAACGTCCACTCAGCTGAATTTGACAAGATAAAGGAAGAATACAATGTCCGAGGATACCCCACCATCTGCTACTTTGAGTCGGTCCTTTTTACTTCTTCTTTAGAAATCATATGCTAAATTGTAACTTCATGTTCCTCCTTGTCTTCCAGCACAGGGACTAAATCTTGTTTTGTTGCATTGATAGGAAAGGAAAGTTCCTGTTCCATTATGAAAACTATGGTGCTACTGCAAAGGATATAGCAGAGTGGCTGCAAAAGTAAGGCATTGAACTTCATGTACTGTACAAAACAGTCCAGCCCCCTTCCTCCTCCCAAAGACCAAATAAAACCACACCCCTGATGTGGACTGAAATAGTACAGGTTAACTCTGATTAATGTTTGTTTTCAGCAGGCATGTCTTGTAGTTTACAGCTGCAGCATGTTGCTAATATAAGGCTGCCTGTGATATGTCTGCACACACACGGGTGTGCTGATCTTTGGAATTCCATTTCAGTTCAAAATGTTGGCCTACAGTTTCAGTTATTTCCAGTGACCAACTGGAAACACCTTGTAAGAGGCTTGATTCTTAGAAGCTGGGTGCTCAAAACTTTTCAAACTACACGTCCCTTTAGAGTGTCCACCGAAAGTCAGTGCACCCCAGTCACTACAGGTTGAACCTCTCTAGTCTGGCACTCTTTGCTCTGGCAACATCTGTGGTCTGGCATGGTTTTAGATAGCGACATGTCCACTTTCCATTGGTGTGGCCAAGTTTCCTGTGGTCCCATAAAGTTTTACAACCACCAGTCCTGGCTCAGTGTTCTGTGCTGTTAGCTCTAAGTTATTCCTAAATATCTTCTAAGAGCCCAAGAAGTAGTGGAAGTGTTGGTAATGCTGCTAGACAATACTGTCCTCCCGTCCTTTGGTGAATTCTCTGGTTCAGCACTGGTCAGGTCTTCAGGGATGTGGACTCGAGAGGTTCAACTTGTAGTAGTCACTTTTTTGGAAAATGAAGCCATGATCTCGATGTTGAGATATTGGGTTTTCTGTCTTGAGAGTGGCAGTGCTTTGTCATGCTAAATCTTTTTTGGCTTGTTGGAGGTTTGTGGGAATCATGGTTGAGTCGCTATAAAATTTTCAAACAGTTGTTTTTGCTAGAATGCCAGTTTACGACAGCCAAGGATCTAGCTCTGGGATTTTATCAAAATGTGGGACTTTTTTCCTTGCTTCTCCTCGCCCAGTTTGTTCTCCCTCACTATGATTTCCGTATCTTGGGTGATTCCTCCACTGAATATCTGTGCCTCCCTATTCCTTTATTCCCCCTTGTCTGTTCACTACACTGGAGGTTTGGGGGCTTTGGGACATTTGGCCTGGACTTACTGATCCTTCACTGTGCTGAGACCCCAGAACAAAGCCATAGCAGGATTCCCATTCACATCAATGGGAAATCTGCACGCATCGGAAGTCTAGGATGCAGAGGTTGAATGCTACCATGTGAATCAAAGAGAAATTTGGCTTTGGTCTCTAAGCCTCTTTCAGCTCATGAAGTCTTCCCAATTGAACGACTAAGACAGTAACTCTAGCAACCACGCAGAGATTATTATTCCCTTAGGGGAAGGATATATGACTTCATCACCTGTACCTTTTATGCGTTTTAGCCCTGCAAGGATGTGGGTTATCACCTGGCTGCCACATGTGAAATGTTAGATGTTTGGTGCTTTTTCAGACTGCTCGTATTGCATCCAGATAATCCCTGTAAATGTGCAGTGCCTTTATATCAGTGCCGTGACAGCTCATGAACACCGCTACTGGAAGCAAAGCAGAACAGCTGCTAGCTCTTTCCAATGATAATCTCCACTAACAAGCCACTGTGGACTTTAGCTGTTACTGTAGCAGTCCAGAGCTAAAGACAGCTGTTTGTCCTCACTTAATTTTCAGTACATGCTCAATAGTTTCCCAAAAGACAATCTGAGCAGTAGCTTTCTTGCCCCTTTTTTGTGATCAGTATAATTTAAGAAATCGCATTCAGAAACTAAAAGCCCTTGGATTTTGCCAGTAATTAATGTTGCAATTAAAATTGTATCCAGTATGAGCCTAGCACATGCTAAATATTGTAATACACAGAGTGATCTGCAGTACAAGTAGCCAAATGTGGTGGCAAAGGCCTCGATGTGTAATTACACAGCTTCAAGGCGTACGTATATAATTAAAAACTCTGAGTAAGTAACTCCGCCTCAGGTTAATCCTGCTTTTTGAAATATCTGTTTCTCAGGCTATTTCTCAGAGAGAGAGAGCGAGAAAGTGGCTTACTTATGAAACAAAATGGGGTGAAGCAGTTGCTGAACATGCATACTTGACGCATATGCTCACACCAGTTCTTGGCTGCAATACCCTATTTCCAGACTTCAGAAGTGCTCGGATCTGGATCTAAACTTCCCTGTTTTGGTTATCTGAAGCACGAGTGAGGTCTGAAATAAGATGGATTGAGATTTAGAGAGCCACTGCAACAGAATCCCTTGCATTAGAGAGATACTTGGGCACAGCACATACTCGTCCGATGAGTAGGTATGGTAGGTAGGCTTATGAGGCTGAATGGTCAGGATGTGTCCGTACCAGAATGTCCATTGTGGCTGGGTGTTGTGCAAGCCATAACGTAGCCCAAGGATCCAGCGAAGAGTTGTGAGCAATAGAAAATATCTATACAATTGTGAACTGTAAGAATGTCCTGCAAGGGGATGCCTTCCTCCTCCCCTTTTCAATAAACTGGCGTTCAGAATGTATGCCTTCATCCAGCCTGTCCTCAATGCTGGTCGGGAGAAACAGCAATTTGATTTGGGGGTCATGAAGGAAAGAGAGGGAGGAAGACTGAGTCAGCCAGCATAGTTGTTTTTCCTCAGGATAGGGTTTAATGGTTTGGAGGATTCCGGCATCTTTCTTACTGCTTACTTGAGACTTCTTTCTCTTACGCTGGCTGCTTCTACCTCATCAATCTGCAGATATTTGACCTCTCTTATCTTCCTAATAGACACCCAGAGAGAGCTGACTGCTATCTCATTGAGCCTGGGGACCTTTTTAGGAGGCTGTGTAGAGGAACAGTAGTCACACAGCTGCCCCTGCACACTGGGTGGTTAATACATTGGATGTTTTCCTGGGCATATAGAGCTACAGCACTTCTCCTGCAGCCTTTCCTATCCTGATGATACAATGCATCTGTCTTACCATTGGCACTTCATAAATGATCTTCAGTGATGTTTCCCACTTATGCTCCCCTCCCGAATAACAACCATCAGGCCCAACTCCTCGCAGCTGATTACTGAATCCAGCTCTTCCTTTTTCTTTTTAAAGTGACTAAATCCTGCTTTTTTTCAGCTATATCAGTCCAGATGCAAACTGTGTTAGTGGGGTCTTAGCATCCTTCACTGGCTTTTTTGCCCTTCTTTTGGGTCCTACTTGGATACTCCACTGTCCAGTTAAGCTACTCCACTCTTTTCTTGTTCTTCATTTAAATAGCCCTTGATAATCATTCCAAACCTCTGCCGTCCACTGTTTTCAGCCACTAGGTTTGCCTTGCCCCTTAACAGGCCCCAGGCGCTCAAATGGGGTTTTAGCCAAGTACTGAGGTGTCTTCTCTGCCTTATTAATATGCAGATAGGATTTAAAGTGAGCCACCAGTGAGGACTTCCTTTTCCTTGCTTTACTAGTTAGGCCCTAGAATAGATTATGCTGGGCCTCCGACCATGCTTTCCTTATGTTCGTTAATTTCTCAAGTTGCTCTTGCTAATGATTTTAGTACTGCAGCGCCTCAGAGCCCCAACTGTGGGCCTTCACACCATTGTGCGAGGCACTGTACCAAGCAGAACACAAAGACAGTCTCTGCCATGGACTTAAAATCTATGCTAGCACCTTTATGTATTAGAACTGCCAGATCCTCTCTCAGACCTAGTAAAATTCTGCCAAAATTCCCCATCAAAATCCTGAAAACCACCATGTGATCTTCTTTAAAAGTCCCTCTTTAAACCTTGCTTCTGCAAGGACCTTACAAACTACTCCCATTTGGCATTGAATAAGGAGTGGCTTTTGTTTCATAAGTTACCTGCAATTTGTCATCCACTGCCACTCTTTTTGTCAATTTTGTCCGCCTTTTGGACTCTCTCTACAAATTAGATTGTGAACTCTCCTTGCAGGACTGTCCTCTTCATTTGTGTGCATCGCACAGCTGGGCCCTGATTCTTGACCCGAGGTTCTTAAGTACTAAAGGGATCTAAATAAAGGGGATGATGCGTTCTAGGGATGTTAAATTTTGTGTAACCAGCTCCTCCATTAGTCGATGGAATTTCCATCGACTACTCGATTAGTCGATAAAGAGAGAAACTGCAGAGCTGCGGCAGAATTAGCCCAGGAGCTAATCCCACTGTGGCTTTGCCTTTTAAATGTAGTAACAGCCACCTGGCTCTTATTACATTTAAAAGGCACAAGTGCAGTGGGGGACCACCTTTGCTTTAAAAGCATCTGGGACTGGGCACAAGCTGATTCCTAGCTTGTGCCTGGTCCCCCACTACACGTCTCTGCTTCCCCCCCCGCTCGCAGAGCCAGTACTGGGAGGAACCGGCTTTTAAGCCAGCTCCCCCAGCACTGGCTCCTGCTCCCCTTTCCCCCGTAGCAGTTTCTGATAAAAGGCAGCCAGCAAGGGGGTGGGAAGCTATCTATGACTTTACCTCTTTTCTACTGTTACTAAACCACCATTATAGCTAGACAAGATAAATGAGTTAGTCTCCACTTGCCAGTCCACGTGGCAGGCAACTGAAACAGTCATGTATTTCAATCAAAAATAGCAAATCTGCTTCCATCAGGGATGGGCCAGAGCCCAGTCTGAATTTTGCTAAAGTTTTTGAGGTTGTTTTTAATTGAGTCAATCAGAACATCCAAAAAAGTCTGGATCCAAATATTTGCGTTTGTCTACCCTATTATTAACAGCATTTTAAAAAAATGTCAAATGAGTTCAGCTCTTTGAATCTGCCAACTTCTTTTGCTTTTCCTTCTTCCCGTTACCACGTCCTCTGCTGTCACTCTGCTGCCCAGACTTCTGCACCATGCTGCACTGTGGAGTTCACTACCATTCTCTGCAGCTAGACTTGCTGTCTCAGTGGTTTATGCTTGTCATCAGGACTGGATTAAGAATTTGAGGCCCTAAGTACTGAAAAGATTATGGTGACCCGCCCCTCCCATATGTAATTCAAAATAAAAACAATACTATACCGTAAAATCTCTTTTTTGTGCCCCTGCTTTGCTGGTGCCCTAAGCACGTGCTTAGTCTGCCTATTGGGTAATCCAGCCCTGCTTGTCATCTCTAGCCCCTGAGATGTTATTTTACCCTCCTTTAACATACCTCAGTCTGAACTGTATCTCACGTCCACTCTGTCTTCTGTAATCCAGCCACCAAAGCACTCAAGGTGATGCCTGATTAAGTCATACTCCTTTCATCTCTATATCCAGTTTTCCTGTGACACATTTACTGACCCACAAGGTGTTGTTCTTAATGATGCTCATTTTTGCCCCATGACTGCTTAGCTGGTCATACTGCTGGTTTATTGTTTCCTCTACGTGTCTCCTTTTGAGTGCGTCCATATTGCTGTCTCATCTGCATATAGCAGCTTCTCACCTTTTCTCATTGGGATCTTCATTCTGACATAGTCATCAATATGATAAATTGCCATCTGCCAACTTCTGTCTCTTCATTGTACATTTATGGAGGGCAAGAAGGATAATCTTCAGGGTGAGGCATTGGTCTGGAACTCATGAAATGTGGGTTTAGCTCCCAGCTCTGTGTCAGACTTCCTGCATGTCCTTGA